CACGCCTCCTTAACTGCTGCAACCGTTTATCACGCCTTCGTTGGCGTGCATCCAGGAATGACGGCTCTCCTTCGCTCTCATCCGAGACACCTGGCTCCTGGCTAATCTCCTCTCCCTCGGCCGGCACCTGAGACAGTGCCAGAGGGGAGGGGTCTGGAGAGGGAGGCCTGGCTGACTCCTCTTCCTCATGTTCGGAGCTTTCTTCCTCCGATGAGATAGGCTCAGAGGGCGGGGCCACAACAGGGCACAGGCTCACACTGTTCTTCTGCCTCACTGATGTCAGACTCTGGAGGCTCCGGAGGCAGCACATAACTACCAGATGGCCCTGGCCCCATCTCTGCCTCCGATGCAGAGCCCTCATCCAAGCCTCCCCCAGACTCCAGGACTGGCCCATGTTCCTCCACAACCTCCTCACTGTCTGACTCTGCTGCCAACTCTGCTAGTTGCCGGCGGGCCACAACAGAAACCTGTTGCCTCTGGTTAGGTCTCCCTCTGAGTCCCTAAAACCAAGGGACTTTTTTTTAAAAAAAAATCACTAGGTTGCATTAACAGAGGGATAGAATGAAGATCACGTGAAGTATCAGTATTGTTTTATAAAGCCTTAGTAAGACCACACTTAGAATACTGCATCCAGTTTTGGTCACCATATTATAAAAAAGATGTAGAGATTCTGGAAAGAGCGTAGAAATGAGTAACAAAGACGATTAGAAGGCTAGAGGCTAAAACATCTGAAGAACGGTTGCAGGAATTGGATTTGTCTAGTCTAATGGAAAAAAAAGAACTAGGGGTGACACGATAGCAGTGTTCCAATATTTGAGGGGCTGCCACAAAGAAGAGGAGGTCAGCCTATTTTCCAAAGCACGAGAAGGCAGGACAAAAAGCAATGGGTAGAAAATAATCAAGGAGAGAAGCAACCTAGAACTGAGGAGAATTTTTTTTAAAAAAAAACTTGATTTATAAGCCGCCCTTCTCCGGAGACTCAGGGCGGCTTACAATGGGCTAAGCAATAGCCTTCATCCTTTTGTATATTTATACAAAGTCAGCTTATTGCCCCCACAACTGAGTCCTCATTTTACCTACCTTAGAAAGGATGGAAGGCTGAGTCAACCTTGAGCCTGGCGAGATTCGAACCTGCAGTAATTGCAGGCAGCTGGTCTTAATAACAGGGTGCTTTAGACCACTGTACTACCAAGGCTCCTGACAGTTAGAACAATTAACCAGTGGAACAGTTTGCCTTCAGAACTTGTGGTTGCTCCATCACTGGAGGCTTTTAAGAAGAGACTGGACAACCACTTGTCTGGAATGGTACATGGTCTCCTGCTTTTGCAGTGGGTTGGACCAGAAGACCTTCAAGATTCCTTCCAACTCTCTTATTCTGTTAAATGCCAGCCACAAAACTTCAGATACCATACACAATTCTCTTAAGCTATGGCCCAGATGAATTGAAATTTCAAAATGGTGGGGGGATATTTATGTGTTCAGCTAGCCAGCATATAATGGGTAGCTTCTGTTAAAAAGGAGCAAAACATTGAATTACACAGAAAATGGAGAGGAAATCAATCTAATTTAGAAAATAGCAGTCATTGTTCAATACTCCCTGGTAATTTTGAAGCAGCCGTGTAATAATATTACTTTGGCAAAATGAGTTTCTGTACAAAAATTCAGCTTGGCTTAAAAGCTGCCCGGTGATAGTTTTCCAATTAATGCATTTCACAGAGCTCAGTTATGGGTCGAATTTCATGTTGGTACATTAGAAGAGAAAGAGAAGCAGGATGCATCGGAATACTGTTACGAAAAAGGTGCTTTAGCTAAAATCAGTAGACGCTACTTAATGCATTTAATAGTTAGCAGTCCTACCAAAGGTGTCCAGTGTACATATAAAATTTGCCAGAGGGCAGGCATGGGTGATCCATATCCTACCTGATGAATTTGATATAAAAGTGATAGGTCTTCAATAAAGATTCAACACCCACCATCTTGCAGATTCTGTCCCTCCTCCAAAGATGCCCCTGAGTCTTACACACATATTTTTTAATACATATTTTGTAAGGGTTTTGGCCAAAGAACTTGACGTAGGGGATATGAGACAAGTTCAATTTAATATTTCGTGAGGAATGAAGCAACCTGAGATGGCTGTGTGTAATTCACAGATGAGAGCCATTTAAAGCCAGGAATTTTTGTTTAAAATTGAAAAATTTCAATTCAGTTGTTCTGAATCTTTTTTATATCTTGTTTGAATCTGTAGGTAAGGCCACCGTTCTATTTTAATTCCCTGTGTTGTTAATTCCTGATTAGATTTAAGTTTCCCTTGCCCATCTAGAAGCTCTTTATATGTTACTATTCTTTGTAAATCAATTAAATTAGGGTAGACCATTGCTTCCATAGTAGATATCCATCTGGGGATTTTTGTATAGAAATTTCTTTTAATTTTCAACCAAATCTCTAATAAGGCGTCTCTCACCTGGTGTCTCTGGAAATATTTGTGAGCTTTGTCATGTCAGCAATAGTCTTGGTATTCATGGAAATTGTATAGCATATTTTGTCAAGGTCATGCTATCCTTATTGTGGGCTCACCATAAGCCTTGCTGTATTTCATCAATTTTCGAATAAGCCATAGTGACTTAGTTCATGCATGCCATACTATGCCATAAACTACGATTGACAACCCACAGTGTCAAGCCAGTAAATTAAAATATGTGTACTCCATGTAGAGAGTTTTTAACTTGGGGGGAAATGGTTTTTCTTTTATGTTTTATCTCCCTCTGGTGATGCAATTCCTCTTTTTCAGCTATCATATAATATCCGAGAGCAGAGGAATCCTCACTACTGAAATATGATTCTGTCTCAGCTTTCATTCCAGGAAGTTCTTCTTTTAAAAATTAAAGAACACATATGATTCCATGTACTTAAATCCTGCCTTCAAGGTGGCCATTAAATTCAGTATAACAGTAATTCCCTGCCATGAATAAATAAACTGAGTTTACAATAATTTCTACCATCTTATTTTACAAGAGCACCATCTAGTGGACCTAGAGGGAGCCAGCATATTTTCCAAGGCTTTAGCTATAGCAATAGTAATAGCACTTGGACCTATATACCGCTTTACAGTGCTTTACAGTCCTTTCTAAGCGGTTTACAAAGTCAGCATATTACCCCCAACAATCGGGGTCCTCATTTTACTGACCTCAGAAGGATGGAAGGCTGAGTCAACCTTGAGCCTGGTGAGATTTGAACTGTCGAACTGCAGCTACCAGTCAGCTGAAGTAACCTGCAGTAGTGCGCCATCGCGGCTATCTGCCTTACTGGAAAAAAAGATTGATTGATTGATTGGTTGGTTGGTTGGTTGATATTTTGGTTTTTCCTGGGGTCACCCGATTTAGCAACACTAATTGTAATTTTCATGATAGAAAATTAGCTGACTTTCCAATCTCAAAAATAAAGTGATATCAGAAGAATTTAGGATTTGGTTTGGAATCTTTTGGAAATACACTACAGAGCAGGGGTGAAATCCAGCAGGTTCTAACAGGTTCTGGAGAACCGGTAAAGGAAATTTTGAGTAGTTCGGAGAACCGGCAAATACCATGTCTGGTTGGTCCCAGAGTGGGGGGGGGAATGGAGATTTTGCAATATCCTTCCCCCCAGGAGGGAAGGGAATGGAGATTTTGCAGTATCCTTCCCCAGAGTGGGGTGGGAATGGAGATTTTGCAATATCCTTCCCCTGCCACGCCCACCAAACCACGCCCACAGAACCAGTAGGGAAAAATTTTGGATTTCACCCCTGCTACAGAGGTATAGACTACTACACTGTAAGCAAAAAATAGTCAGTTAGAAAAAGACAATAGTAAGCCACCTCTGAACTGTTGTTGTAACTCTGTATGGACGTGAAAATTTTGATGAAATCATTGTGTCTCTTAATTCAACTTGATGGAGACTTTAGTCCTTGACTTATGATCAGTCACTCACCAACCATTTGAAGTCACTAAGAATCCCCACCCCCCAAAAGGTACTTACAACCTGAATTCAAAGTTCTGATGGTCACTGCCATCCTCAGCCCCACCCCTCCCCCACCCCGGATCACATGACTGCATTCTGGGCACTCAGAAGCTGGCCTGAATTTATGACTATTTGCAGTGTCCTGCTCAGATGACCACAGTTGATGAAGCTTTTGCCAAAACATTTCAGCAAAAATGGCCCAGAGCAAGCAATGCTTTCACTTTAGGACCATGGTGTCTTACAACCAATAAAGGCTGTAAGATCAAGCTGGTCACGTGCGTGACCCATGTTACGACCAACACAACTTAAAACCGCAAGAGGGCAGACTCCCTTATGGTCATAAGTCAAGGAATACATGCCAGTTGCTAAGTGCTGGAAGTTTGCTCATTGGACCACAGGGATGCATGCGTAAGTGTGCAAACAGTCATAATTCATTTTAATTAGCATCATTGTAACTTCGAACAGTCACTAAATGAACTGTTGTAAGTTGAGGACTAGCTGTACATAGATTTTCTGAATAGGTAATATGATTTGCTTTAGAACAGGGGTGTCAAACTCAAGGCCTGGGGGCCGAATCCAGCCTGTGGGGTGCTTCGATCTGGCCCGCGGGGCCACCCTGGAAACAGCAAAGGACCGGCCCACAGTGCCTCTGCCAGTGAAAATGGAGCTTGTGAGGGCCACGTGTAGCCGTCACAACTCCATTTTCACTGGCAGAGGATTGCAGGAGGCCATCGCAGCCGAAAACAGAGCTCAGGAGCCCGTTTTTGCTGTCACTCAGACCACCACAGGTGCCCCCAACATGAGTGACGTCAAGCTGGCCATGCCCACCCTGCCCACATCCAGCCTGCCCCCCCCGAGGTCAAACACAACCCTGATGCGGCCCTCAATGAAATAAAGTTTGATCCCCCCTGCTTTAGAAGCATCCAAAGAGGTCCAAAATGGATACGAGGTGTTCCGAGATTTAATCTTATGTTTACAACTGGATATTTTCTGTTCCATTCCTGCAGAAATACAGATGTACACACAGTGGCCTCATTGTTGAAACTCTACCTCAGGGAGTTGCCGGAGCCGGTTATCCCGTATTCCAAATATGAAGAGTTTCTCTCCTGTGCCAAAATGCTCAGCAAAGAAAAGGAAACGGTGAGTTTGGTCTCTCAGTTTGGATTGATGTTAGTACCCAAATCCCCTTATCTGGGGATTTCTATCTGAATTTAGTTCCTAATTATTTGCATGGGTGCTGGATATTTCTCCATTTTCACTTTTTTTTTTTTTTTTTTTTACATATTCACACAGGGCCTGAATGAATTAGCAAAGCAAGTGAAGAATTTGCCGCTCGTCAACTTTAATCTACTCAAGTACATTTGCAGGTAAATCATCCTGATCCAAAAACAAACAAACAAACCATACTATGCCTGTGCGCCATATATCATTAGACAGCTCAATTGTTTACAGCACTTTCATTAGGATAATTGCAGACTAGTTGATTTTTATTTATTTATTTATTTTGGTCTCTGAATCCTTATTACAAGTATGAGAGGCTACGGTATATGGAGACTACAATCCAGTGGTGAAATGTAAAATTTGTTACTACCGGTTCTGTGGGCGTGACTTGGTGGGGGGGGGGGTAATGTGACTGGGTGGGCGTGGCCACCTGTTTTTTTTTTTTTTTAACTTTTAAAAGCATTTTTTCTACAACCTCTTCGGCTGAAGAGGTTATTAAAAAAATGCTTTTAAAAGCCTCTGACGATCCCAGCTGAGTTGCCTGATCATCGGAGGCTCTTGTTTTCTTTTAAAAGCATTTTTTTTTTTTTTTGCTTTTATAATATAATATAATCAATTGCACCAATGGGTGTTTCAAAGATGAGAATCAGATCAATCCTTGGAGAATAAGGGTTTTTTTTTTAATCTTCTGTTCCTCCTTCAGGGATTATCTGTCTTTCTCCATTTCTTCACCAAAGATATTTTCTGTGTCTTTTCTCTGCTTCCAATATAAAAGCAGCTCCAGAGAATAGAACAGGGAGTCCAGTTCAAGAGAATTTATGTATGCGATTCCTAATTCTATTTAGCGTGATTTGTCTAATGAGAATAGGGACGCGGTGGCTCAGTGGCTAAGATGCTGAGCTTGTCAATCAGAAGGTCAGCAGTTCAGCAGTTCAAATCCCTAGTGCTGAGTAATGGAGTGAGCTCCCGTTACTTGTCCCAGCTTCTGCCAACCTAGCAGTTCGAAAGCACGTAAAAACTGCAAGTAGAAAAATAGGGACCACCTTTGGTGGGAAGGTAACAGCGTTCCGTGCGCCTTTGGCGTTGAGTCATGCCGGCCACATGACCACGGAGACGTCTTCGGACAGCGCTGGCTCTTTGGCTTTGAAACGGAGATGAGCACCGCCCCCTAGAGTTGGGAACGACTAGCACGCTTGTGCGGGGGAGCCTTTACCTTTACCTTATCTAATGAGATCCTGTCATCATATGTGACTGAATACCGGACTTTCACTTTCCTCCTGTCCTACCTACCCCTGGTTCCTTGAATGTCTGAATAGATTCCTGGATGAAGTTCAGTCCTATTCTGGAGTTAACAAAATGAGTGTACAAAATCTGGCGACCGTGTTTGGCCCCAACATTCTCCGTCCCAAAGTAGAAGATCCTCTGACAATCATGGAAGGTAAGTCGATGAGGGTGAAAATGATAATGCAAATTGTCCAAATTCCATGAAGTGTTTTGAAAGATTAAGATACAGCACGGGTAGAATGTTCTTTTCTCATGCTTCGCTAAATGCATAGAAATGATCTGAAGCAAACGCTCGAAGATTACATTCTTTGCTAGGTGGCATGGCAAAATTGTAAAATTCTCTTACCCAGTACAGGTAGTCCTCAACTTACAACAGTTCATTTAGTGACTCTTCACAGTTACAACGGCACTGGAAAAAGTGACTTATGACTGTTTTTCACAGTTATGACTTTTCCAGCATCCTTATGATCATGTGATCAAAATTCAGATACTTGGTCACTGGTTCATATTTATGACGGTTGAAGAGTCCCGGGGTCATGGGATCCCCTTTTGCGACCTTCTGACAAGCAAAGTCAATGGGGAAGCCAGATTCACTTAACAACTGGGTTACTAACTTATCAACTGCAGTGATTCACTTAACAACTGTGGCAAGAAAGGTCGTAAACTGGGGGGAAACTCACTTAACACATGTCTCACTTAACAACAGATAATTTGGGCTCAGTTATGATCATAAGTCAAGGACTGCCTGTACTGCACATGAAGGATCCATCCCGCACACTGAAAAACCGCTACATATCACAAAATATAGCTAATTTCAGCATTTGAGTTTCTACAGACAAGAAGGATTTAAAGCCGATAATCCATACATTCCAATTTCTGAGCCCGTCTAAATGCTGTAGAGATTGAAATAAAGATAGCAAACTCCAGATATAGTAATGGGGTAATTATTGGAACAGCCACTCCACATCGCCAGTGGCCAGCAGAGCTGGCAGCAGATTTGGACAGTGAGGAGGTTGGGGAGGAACATGGGCCAGTCCTGGAGTCTAGGGAAGGCTCTGACGAGTGATCTGCATCGGAGGCAGAGATGAGGCCAGGGCCGTATGACAGATATCAGCTACCTTTAGAGTCAGACATCAGTGAGGCAGACGAACAGCTGGAGCCTGTTCCCAGTATGCGCATGCGTAGAGTTGCCTGATGAAGGTGTTCTGTCCCCCTTCCTCACACAGACAAACGTAATACCAAGCATGCCTGCCAATATTTTATTAGGTAAACAGATTAGAATTCTTGGCAGACCAAGGTTTTGGCAGCAAACTGCCGAATGCCTGCCAAGACCGTTTTCACTCCCATAAAGCAGAAGAGGACTTATCTTCAGTCCATTCCAGGAGCAACAAATTATCCATGAGACAAGAGTTTAGTCAATGTTCAGTCCAAAATATATCCAAGCCGAATTTCAGAGATCACGATGTGACTTTCAGGGTTTAACTTTGTCCGTCACAAAGCCTGAAGAGCAATCCCACCCACTTTTATTCCTGGTGGGGCGTGGCTCTGTGACTCAGCTCAATCTCTGGCCCTCCCACGCCTCTTCCGTTGCTGCGCACGCTTCTTCCTCCAACGCTGCCTGGGATCAAGCCAGGATTCATCATCCTCGCTCCCTATCAATTGGTGCTCCGATATGCCTTCCTCCTGGCACATCCCTGGCTGTTCCTCCTGGCCTTCGGATGGAACCTGAGGCATTGCCAGAAAGGAGGGTCCTGGAGAGGGAGGCCTTGTCAGTTCCTCCCCATCACCTTCTGAGTCCTCTTCCTCCATGAGGACAGGCTCGGGAGTCGGGGTCACAACAGAAGGGAACAGCTAAAGAACAAGGGTCGACTTGGGAGTAAGGCCACAGGTGGATGATGAAGGGCCCCTCCCATAGGGAATAAAAGAGGAGCGAAAGGAGAGGGGTGTTTGCAGGAGACAATTAATTCATTCCTGCATTCTTGCCAAGTATTGCGGCGTCTGAAAGATATCGGCCTGGCCACTCTCCAAGCCTGATAAACGTTGGTCATTGTGAACTATTTTGAAAGACTGTGGGAGAGGAAAGACTTTGCCGGAGAGGAATTCACTGTAAATTAAATAAAAGGGGTTTATCAGGACGAGGACTTGGGCTTCGTGCTGCTGGGGAAGCCTAGCTCAGAACAGGACCCTCCCTAGTTTTCTAGAAAGTAAAATGAAAGGAATGGAGAAATATCTCAAAAGTCCTGTTTCAAAAGGCAACTGGACTTTCTCTTGAAGATGTTTGGATGTCGTCATCCAAGAAGCTTCTCGTCGGTTCTGATGAGAAGTGAAACATCCTCAAGGAAGAACATAGAAAGTCCGGTCGCCTTTTAAAGAAGCATCTTTGAGACAACTTGAATGACTATCTCCGTAGATGAGCGGGGAAAATACTTACCATCTTATAAGATTCTGTTAATATAACCTTACAAATAAGATAGAATTCGTAATTCTAGTTGGGCTCTTGCCTGGATTACTTCACAAGGTAGTTCACATAGATCTTCTCATTTGCCAAGTGTTACTTAAATAATCCAGACAGTGATTACCATATTTTTTGGAGTATAAGATGCACCTTTCCCCCCCCTAAAAGGGGGTGAAAATTTAGGTGCGTCTTATACATCAAATGTAGCCCTGCCCACCCACTGACCCCCACCTTTTGGCCTCTGCCTCCCAGCAATTTACCTCCTTGCAGCAGCAAGCAGCAAGAAGAAACAGTTCCTTTCAGCTTCAGCACAGCCTAATTAGCACAAGTTGATTGGATCAGCCTCCCGACTCTCAGCTGTTTTGCTCTCAGCTGTTTTGCAGGTGCCTCTGCTGCTTGCTGCAAGGAGGTAAATTACTGAGAGCAGATTTTTTTTTCCCTTGTGCTAATCAAGCTATGTTGAAAACGAAAATGAATGTAAAGCAGGCTGTTTGCTGTTTGCTGTAAGAGGCAAAATTGCTGGGAGGCAGAGGCAGATTTCTTTTTCTTGTTTTCCTCACCAAAAAAGGTAGGTGCATCTTATAGTCCAGAGCGTCTTATACTCCAAAAAATACGGTATACAGTATATAGCAACAAAAGCAATTAAAATTATCTCCTTTTCTCCCATTTCTTTACAATTATGGAATTCAATTCCATACAATGAAAGCCAGATTCTAAGGATAACAGGAGGGATAAAATTATTGTCCTTCTGGCCTTGCCCTCTCTCTTACTGTTACATAGCCCTTTCCAGCTCAAGGGATCTATGATTCCAGCTGGACATCATTGGAAAAAAACTAGATCTGGGTTGGCAGAATGCAGATCTGCATATCCTGCACATAGTTAGTCATTTAGAATATTGGGGAAAATGTTTTACATTCCAGTGGTTTGACAATACCAATATTAACGAGCTTGTCCATTGCTTTATGCTGCTGGAATGATAAATAAATAAACATAAATATAAATACACAAGGGACTCGGAAGAATTGTGAACTCAATTGAGTTCTGGTAGACTCCCTAAATTGGTAGTCTTAGAATTAATTCTAAATATGTATGTAAGAACAGGTGCAGGAAAATTAATTTTAAAGTGGAACCAAATGCTGGAGGGACGTGGTAGCCTCTGCTTTGCTAGACGACTTCAAGCAGACACATTTGAGAGGAGTGTAAATTCCTGCACCAAGAAAATGGTTGGATCTAGTGATCTAAATCAGGGGTCTCCAACCTTGGCAGCTTTAAGACTTGTGGACTTCAACTCTCAGAATTCCTCAGCCAGCAAAGCTTTGCTGGCTGAGGAATTCTGAGAGTTGAAGTCCACAAGTCTTAAAGTTGCTAAGGTTGGAGACCCCTGATCTAAATGATCCTTTCAAACTCTGTGCTTCTATTCCAACTTTAATTGAGCTCTGGATTCTAGTTAAAAACCGGAATCCTTCCTTCCACACCTAAAGACCCCCCAGCTCTCAATTAGATAAGTCTCTAACATTCCTGTCACAATATTAAAGTCTAATTATGAAAGTTAAAGCACTTCAATTGCTTCCAAAGATCCGGATCTAAGTTTTCATCTTAGATGCATTTTAGCAGTAGCCACTTAGGCTTATATACCGCTTCATAATGCTTTTACAGCCCTCTCTAAGCGGTTTACAGAGTCAGCCTCTTGCCCCCAACAATCTTGAGTCCTCATTTTACCCACCTCGGAAGGATGGAAGGCTGAGTCAACCATGAGCCTGTTTGCCAAATTTGAGATTCAAACTGGCAAATTGCAGGCAGTCGGCAGTCAGCAGAAATACCTTGCAGTACCGCATTCTAACAATTGTGCCACCGCGGTTCTTTCTAATCCATTAAAATAGCAGGGGAGGAATGGGCATATCTATCTTGTGCCTGCAGATGTTCAGATTGTCCAGGTCAGTGGTGGGTTGCCCCCAGTTCGGACCAGTTCACAAGAACCGGTAGTAAAACCAGCGGGAGGCCCGACCTACCACCTGGGATGTTGTCATCGGCGATCTGCGTATGCGCAGAAGCTTCTGTGCATGCAAAGAAGCAAGGCGCGCGTGTGAGCAAAGCATGCGCGCGATCCCATTGCAAAGCGGTAATAAAGGTAAGTAGAACCCACTCCTGGTCCAGGTGTTACCCCAGCGGCCCATTTTCCTGGCAAAGCACCACAGGCGCTCCTGACACGAGTGACGTCAAGCTGGCCACGCCACCCTCCCCCCTCCCCCCTGAGGTCAAAAACAACTCTGATGAGGCCCTCAATGAAATCGAGTTTGACACCCCTGGCTTATACTATTAAAACAAAAGCATTTTAAAAATATGCTTAAAATGGCCACTCGAAGAACACCGCCCTAATTTTATTTCGAGAAATACGGAAGAAGGTGGGAAGGACTGTGAAGTGCTAGATGCCATGTTCCACGTGAAAGCTCCATAAATTAAAGAAAAGGAGCCGTGCTGTTTGGCTTCCAGGAGTGTCTGAAAAATGCAGGCTTCCGATTCATTACCTGCATCTCGAATGACATCCCCCCCTCCTGACTTCCTAGAATTCACTTTGATTTATAATACCGGCAGCAGCAGAGTCTCTCCTCAAAGATTGGGATGCACTCTGGAGGCTGCTCCAAATTTCATGCCGGAGTGTTTATTTATATTGATATTAGATTAATTTTACAGGTCTTGTCATTATAATATGCTGTTAGAGTCGACAAAATTAAATTGGTAGCAATGGGAGGCAGGGAGCTTCATCCTCTTCCTTCCGAAGGTTTCTGAGGTGGACCTCCTCTAGGGCAGATGACCCTCCAGCCATCTGGAAGTGAACTTCAACAATTCTAATTAAGACCATTCGTCTCTCTGCTCCGTATGGCTTTGCTCCCACCGTTTTCCCCCCAGAGTTCCTTAAGGGCTTCTTTGGTTACTTGTTTTGTTCTGATGTGAAAAATGCATCTTTCCCGTACTGTGCAATCCATAGAGGGTCACATTCAGTGGTGGGTTCCTCCCGGTTCGGTCCGGTTCAGCTGAGCCGGTAGCGGTGACGATATGACATCACCAAACCGGTTTTTCCCCCCCGCCCTCCCACCTCCCCCACCCCCCCCAAGTTATTCTTACCTTTTACCCCCAATCTATTGCTGCCTCCTGAGTCCCAGCTGATGACTAGAGGGAAAAAAACTGTTTAAACTCTTGCCCTGGGGCTTCAAAGGGCCGCCCTACAGCTGATCAGTGTTAAAAGCAAACAAATGAGTTGGGTCGTAAGTGCGAGGACTGGTCGTAAGTGCGAGGACCTTCCAGAAATGACTGGCCAGCTAGCCACGCCCACCTAGTCACATGACCTCCAAGCCACACCCACAAAATAAGCCATGCCCACAGAACCGGTAGTAAAAAAATTTAGAACCCACCCCCGGTCACGTTGTATGGGCTGAACAGGGATGCGAGAAGAGTAGAGTTTTGTCCTGTGTAATATGGGCTTCAGTCTGCTGCATTGTCTTACAACCCTTCAGAATTCTAAACCGGTGGGGCTAATTTCAATGACGATTCTGAGGATTTTAGTCCCAACGATCAGGCCTTAATATTGGTACATAGTTAGAATAAATGTGGCATTAATAAATGGAAACATAGGAGAGAGAGACACACAAAAAGAGAGACAGAGAGAGGGGGGAGGGGGAGAGAGAAAGAAAGAGAGAAAGAGAAGAAGAAAGAGAGAAGAAGAGAGAGAAGAAGAGAGAAAGAGGGGGAGAGAGAAAGAAAGAAGAGAGAGAAAGAGGGGGAAAGAGAGAGAAAGGAGAGAGTGAAAGAGAGAAAGAAAAAGAAAGAAGAGAAAGGGAGAGAGAGAGAAAGAAATAAAGAAGAAGAGAGAAAGAGAGGGAGAGACAGAGAGAGGGAGGGAGAGAGAGAGAAAGAAAGAAAGAAAAAAGAAGAGAGAAAGAGAGAGGGAGAAAGAAAAGAAAGAGAAAGAGAAAGAAAGAGAGGGGTAGAGAGAAAGAGAGAGGGAGAGACAGAGAGAGAGAGAGAGAGAGAGAGAGAAAGAAATAAAAAGAGAAAGAGAGAGGGAGAGGGAGAAAGAGAAAGAAAGAGAGAGAGGTAGAGAGAAAGAGAGAGGGGGAGAGGGGGAGAGAGAGAGAGAGCAGAAGTCACAGATGGATTGTCCTCGTAGTTCTACAGAAATTTAGAAGAATGTCCAGGTGAGCACCAACCTGGATTTGACTGGACTTCATTTCAGTCGTGGATTTGGACCTGTTTTGATTTTGTTCCTGGAGGAACAGGCTGTGCCGGCTTTGCTTGTCTTGCCAGCAGTGCTTACCACAACAGCCATGCTTGCCACACCTGTGGGCCTGGTGGTGATTGTTGAGGCCACCACCCTTCTATACGCCGTGTGTTCTGGCATCTCTCCCCATTGGGAACATTTTTCTTTGGTGGGGGTTTGTCGGCAGCTGTGTTGGGAGGGGGGGGAATGACAGAGGGGCTCGGAGAACCTCCTGTAGGTGTATATAAACTGTAGACATTGGTTTTTATTTTGCAAATTATGGAATCAGAGATGAGAACGAGAGCAGAAGGGATTCAAGTCCAGCTGTTTTGAAGCTTGATGTATCATCTTTTTATCTAGTCTGTAACAGCATATCCTGCATCAAGCAAGGTTCATGCTGTTTTCCCACTTAATGTAAGCAACTGAGCAGTTCATAGGCAAGTGAAGCATGTCAACAATATTTAGTTCTTGTCATTTTTTCTTCGATGCCCTCAGCATACAGCGTTGGCTTCATCTCCAGATAAAGCAAAAACAAGTGAGCCAGCCCTTAAAATCTATCCATCTATCCTATCTTTTAAAGTAATTTAATAAAATCTATTTAAAGAGATAATGGCTGCCTCGATTCAACACTTCACACTCCCCGCTTCCTACCCAATTACAGGAAAACATTCACTGGGAGAGTCGGACAGGCTGTCAAACTTCATTTACTGCTGGAAATCATGAGACTTTTTAGTTGAATAATTTTGCTATACAATCAGATGCTGATCATTTCTTTTCCTAGGTTGCTCTCTTCTTAAAGTGGAACGGATGGATGGATGGATGGATGGAGAGGGAGGGAGGGAGGAGGGGAAGGAGGGAGAGGGGGGGGAATCTATGGTATTTTGCACAAAGATTATTTTATGTGATATAAACATCATCGCGTCAGGGTTCCAAGTAACACCCCCAACGAAAGAAAACTCCAAGGCTTGAGGTTCCTCAAAGTTCCTTTTTATTGAAGATGTCATATTGGCACATCTGGGAAAACCCAAATTTGAAAGTTTCCAGGTTTTCCCCACCCTGCCCAGCACCCACATGTCCATCACATGGTCCAATCATCCACCGTCCAAACTGGAGACACCTCCCAGTCATCTGACTCCAGATAACAGGGCAAAGCGTCCTTGACTCTCTGAGAAAGGAATGTTATTTTGACTACATATCATCTACACTATATGCAATCCCCACTCCCATTTTCCCACAGAAGAATATGTGGCAAGCCTGAAGGCCCAAATGTAAAAAGATGGCTTCCAGGTCTGACATATCGGTGCTTTCACAAATGAAGTAAAATATACATATCCCAGGATAATATTGTAGGATCCAATCTGATTCGGTCACTGTGATCAGAGGTTTAATTTTCTGAGCTTTCAGACTCATGTTGGAGCCTCTTCTTGGGGAATTCTCTCTCACTCAACATTCTGGTGAGAGAGAGAAATTCCCTGAGGATGGGCTCCGGTATGAATCCGAAAGCTTGGAAGACTAAACTTCTGGCCCCAATGACCAACCCAGATTGAATCCTGCATCATTGGTGCTTTGCTCATGACAAACGAGGATTACAAGAACTTTCTAGATGAGAAAGACTTTTTTCCCCAGTGGAAAATAAACCCACCACGAGAAATTGAATCTCATGTAAAGATAACCTTGAATGCAAAGTATATGCAAAACATGGCATTTCTTTTTCAAAAGTTACGGCATGCTGAACCTGGATTTGTTTGTGTTATTTTCTATTAGGTACTGTGGTGGTCCAGCAATTAATGTCCATGATGATAAGCGAACATGAGCTGTTGTTTCCCAAGGATGCGGAGCCTCAAAGCGGACAAGAGGTTTGCAATAACAACAACGAGGTCCAAAAGAAAGTGATCATTGGTCAGCTCCAGAACAGAGAGAATAATAATACCAAGGAGTCGTCCCCTGTCAGGCGATGTTCATGGGACAAACCTGAATCTCCTCAAAGAACCCTGGTGGACAATGGATCTCCTACAGCTCAGCCCGGAAGCAAATCGAACAGTCCAAGGAACAGCATTCACAAACTGGACATCACCAGGAGTCCACCCCTTACGGTGAAAAAAAACCCGGCATTTAATAAAGGTAGCGGCATAGTCACCAACGGGTCCTTCAGCAGTTCTGTAGAGAGTCAGGAGAAGACGTCACCGTCTCTATCCAACGGTACCTTGCAGACCAGAAGAACATCATCTCTAAAAGGGCCAGTAACCAAAATGGGCACGCACAGCATGCCGAACGGAGGGGTACGAATGGGTATCTCCAGCACTGATGCCCACAGCAACTCTTTGAACAGCCGTTGCCAGAGCTGGATGCCTAATGGGTACGTGACCTTGAGAGACAACAAGCAAAAGGAGCCTATGGGTGACTCAGGCCAGCACAACAGACTTTCCACTTACGACAACGTGCACCAACAGTTCTCAGCAGTGAACGCCGAAGATAAGCAGAGCGTGGACAGCGCGACTTGGTCCACGTCCTCGTGCGAGATATCCCTCCCTGAACATTCCAACTCCTGCCGCTCGTCCACCACCACGTGTCCCGAGCAAGACTTTTACGGGAGCAATTTTGAAGACCCGGTTTTAGACGAGCCCCAACAGGACAATCTCCTGAACCCGGCCGAGTGTGAGAGCAAAGTTGACCGGAGAAGCGTGGGGGGCCGAAGCAGCAGGGCGACGAGCAGCAGTGACAACAGTGAAACATTTGTGAACAACACAGGCAATCACAGTGCTTTGCACAGCCTGGTTTCCAGCTTAAAGCAGGAAATGACAAAACAAAAGCTGGAGTACGAAACGAGGATAAAAAGGTAAGATTTCAGCGAAAGAAATTTCTGAAGCCAGGGGGTAGGTTGGTTGGGGATGATGAGATGATTAGGGAGCTGGAAGCTAAAACATGAAGAATGGTTGCAGGAACTGGGTATGTCTAGTTTAATGAAAAGAAGGACTAGGGGTGACATGACAGCAGTCTTCCAATATCTCAGGGGCTGCCACAAAGAAGTGGGAGTCAAGCTATTCTCCAAAGCACCTGAGGGCAGGACAAGAAACAATGGGTGGAAGCTAATCAAGGAGAGAAGCAACTTAGAACTAAGGAGAAATTTCCTGACAGTTAGAACAATTAATCAGTGGAACAATTTGCCTCCAGAAGTTGTGAATGCTCCAACACTGGAAGTTTTTAAGAAGAGGTTAGATAACCATTTGTCTGGAGTGGTGTAGGGTTTCCTGCCTGGGAAGTAGGTTGGACTAGAAGACCTCCAAGGTCCCTTCCAACTCTGTTATTCTATTCTATTCTATTCTATTCTATTCTATTCTATTCTATTCTATTCTATTCTATTCTATTCTATTCTATTCTATTCTATTCTATTAAGAACAGAACAGAACGTATAGCATATAGCAGTTTAGGGAAGACTGATTTACAAGGTAGTGCTGGAGGTACAGAAATCCCTGTCTCAAAGGCAAAGGAATTGTTCATTGGGTTAGATTCCAACTTCAATTTCAACCAAACTGGTAGATTATTCTTATACCAAGTGAGCTTATACTGAGACCATTGGTCCATCTAGATCAAGGGCACAGACAAGGTCCCCAAAATGGCACATCATCCCCCCAAAAAACGTCAGCTTCAACCCAAGTCCTTCCAAAACTTGCCAGCAATTTCTAATTTTGAATGGGTCATATGGAGAAAACTATTAAAAACATGTAGGGAATTAAATTAAGGTGACATAGTTTACATTTAAGTACATCAAATTCAATTTTTCCCCTAAGCTCATATGTTTTTAAGAGTGTGGCCATAACTAAACCAAAGACTAAATGTGTCCTTAAGTCCCTCTTCCAGGTTGCCTAGATCACACACACATGTAGATCTAGTGTCACAACTTGTAGAACATACAGTACATCAGTGGTGGGTTCCTCCCGGTTCCATCGAGCCGGTAGCGGTGACGATATGATGTCACCAAACCGGTTCTGGCCCCCGCCCCCCGCCCCCCTCCGCGCTATTCTTACCTTTTATTTGGCCCCACCCCCAATCTATTGCTGCCTCCTGAGTCCCAGCTGATCGGCTAGAAGGAAAAAAACTGTTTAAACTCTTGCCGTGGGCTTCAAAGGGCCGCCCTACAGCTGATCAGTGTTAAAAGGCAGTGTGGTGGTAGACCAGTGCCTCCAAAAACAAATAGGTAGACCGGTGCCTCCAAAAACAAATGGGTAGACCGTTACAGCTCTGCAAGCAGTTAAAAGCCTGGTAGACTAGTACCTCTGCTAAATCCTAAAGAATTGTCACATGACCATCAAACCACGCCCACAAAATAAGCCACGCCCACAGAACCGGTAGTAAAAAAATTTAGAATCCACCCCTGACATACATCAGTAGTGCCAACCATCAGCACCTCTTGCATGGTTTAGAAATATGGAATGAATGAATGAGTGAATGAATGAATGAATGAATGAATGAATGAGAGAGGAAGAAGGGAAGGAAGAAAGGAAGGAAGAAGAAAGAAAGAAAAAAGAAAGAAAGAAAGAAAGAAAGAAAGAAAGAAAGAAAGAAAGAAAGAAAGAAAAAGAGTCAGTCAGTCCATTTGGTCTACACACAGCTGGTTTTCAATAAATCTTACTGTCTTTCATTGAACTAAATATACATTATCATTATGATTAACCAAAGCTACCTTCTTCAATTGCCCTGCATTGGGATGGTATTCACAAGTAAGGGTTGCAAACGTAGCTTTTATATGACACTGATGCCATCACACAACTAACCATGATACACCTCTGTTTAACATCAAACAATCCAACATTGTTTTGAATACAAACAATTTAATTTGAGTTGTTTGCATTTCTTCCCGGCCAAATATTTGGAAAGGCCAATATATTATTTACTACAAATAGTCTTTGCTTAATGACCATAATTGAGACTGGCAACTTTGTCACGTGACAGTACTTAGATTTACGATGTCACTTCCATTTTGGTTCTTAAGCAAAAGAGCCCTGGTCGTTAAGCAAGACATCGTGTGATTGCAACTTGTGATTTCACTGCTGACTTCTCCATTGACTCTGCTTGTGAGACGCCAGCTATGAAATGTATGAATTGGGATCATGGGACCGCAGGATGCGGCAGCAGTCCTAAATGTGAGGATTGGTCATAAAGTTACTTTTTCAGTACCGTTGTAACTTCAAACAGTTTCTAAACAGGGCACTGGTTAAGCAAGAACCACCTGTAGACAGGTGAGTTAGAATTGTGGCACACATTTTTTTTTTAATTTGATTTATATGCCGCCCTTCTCCAGAGATTCAGGGCGGCTTACAATGCGTTAAGCAATAGCCTTCATCCTTTTGTATATTTATACAAAGTCAGCTTATTGCCCCCACAAACTGGGTCCTCATTTTACCTACCTTGGAAAGGATGGAAGGCTGAGTCAACCTTGAGCCTGGTGAGATTCGAACTTACAGTAATTGCAGACAGCTGGTGTTAATCACAATGCTATTAGTCTGCTGAGCCACCAGGCCCAACATGAGCCTTTCAGATAGATGGAAGGGGGGGAATCATTTAAATTATACATGCAATGACATAAAGCACTGCATGAACAATGAGACAAAGGGGGGGGGAAAGGTCAGCATTCAGCTTAATTTATCTCTTAGGGGATTATACATCACTCACATCTTCCATTCTGCCACCAAGTAATCTAAAAACTCCGGCATGAATACTAATGAATGCCACCATTTATTTTGTTGGATGCCGGTGGGACAGAGCTCAAGACACTTGGAAAAAGAAATGACTTTTCAGAGCAGCCGTCGGTGGAAAAGTCCCTCTCTAAAGATCGCTGCTTCAGAGCAAGGTTTTAATGAGCTCAGGAGAGGGTGGGGCTTTGCTTTCTTTATGGAAAATTGCAAATGAGCCTCATAAATGACTTTAGCATTTCAGTCATGAGATGGTTCTGTGTAAAGCCGGGGGCAGTAAAGACACAGATTTAAAAAAATAAAAATAAAAATAAAAATTGCATTGGGAGGAGCTTAAAAATTCTGAGCAACATAATCATAATCATGGTCCCTTACAGACCTCTTAGGAATGGGGTGAGGTCAACAGTAGACAATTTAAGGTTAAAGTTTTGGGGGTTTGGGGAAGAAACCACAGAATCAGGTAGTGCATTCCAGGCATTGACCACTCTGTTGCTGAAGTCGTATTTTCTGCAATCGAGTTTGGAGCGGTTTACCTTGAGTTTGTATCTATTATTTGCTCGTGTATTGTTGTGGTTGAAGCTGAAGTAGTCATTGACAGGAAGGACATTGTGGGAGATGATTTTATGAGCTATGCTAAGGTCAGACTGAAGTCGGCGTAATTCTAAGTTGTGATGTACATACAAGTGACATACAAGTGACATCAAGAGAATTGACTAGGTAACAATAGGTTTCCATTGTCGTCTGCAATCCTATCCAATCCTTGTTCTGTTGGGTTCTTAACACAAGCTTTCTATCGTCACTGGAAAAGCCTTGGCTTGTCATTTTCCTTAGTGTTTCTAGTTACGGTTACATAGTACAAGATAATTTTCTATTCTCTTGGAGTTGTTTTCATTTGGATTTAAGGATCTTTAAGACAGTTGCCAACCTCTTGTGGTTGAATAGAATTCTTTATTGGTCAAGTGTGATTGGACACACAAGGAATTTGTCTTTGGTGCCTACGCTCTCGGTGTACATAAAAGAAAAGATACATTTGTCAAGAATCATAAGGTACAACCCTTAATGATAGTCATAGGGAACAAATAAGCAATCAAATCATATTAGGAAACAGTCAATATAAATCTTAAGGATACCTGCAACAAGGTTACAGTCATACAGTCATAAGTGGGAGGAGATGGGTGATAGGAACGATGAGAAGATTAATAGTAATGCAGACTTAGTTGTTGTGACCCAAGTAATGATTACCAAACACAATTCAGTCCTCAACAAACTTGTTTATTAAAACAGCTGAGAATTAATTCATTAATTCATTCATAATAAATTCATTAATTCATTAATTAATTCAGCTTAGTCCAAAACAAAATTCTTAATAACCAGTCCGTTGGCCTTATCGCCAACCTTTGATATCTTTGGCAACTTGCCAAAGGCTTTTCTCGGCAAAACCCCCACAAAGTTCAAGAGACGCTGACAAGAAGCACGGGAATCAACGTAGCTTTTCTACAAAGAACCCAATGGCTCATTGCTGCTCTTTTAAGCCTTATGGGAGGGGCCAATCATCTTCTAGCCTTACTCCCGAGTCATCCTTTTTGCTTTAGCTGCTCTTGCCTTCTGGCAGCTCTTCACATGCGTGCACTAGGAACAGGCTCCTCCTGTTCCTCTGCCTCTCTACTGTCAGCCTCTGAAGGCTCTGGTGTCCGCGCATCGCTGACACCAGAGATGGCCCTGGCCCCATCTCTGTCTCCGACGCAGAGCCCTCGTCTGGGCCTTCCCCTGACTCCAGGACTGGCCCATGTTCCTCCCCAGCCTCCTCACTGTCCAACTCCATTGCCAGCTTCACAGGCTGCTGGCGGACCACAACATTAGTTGTGACACTGTTGAGGGAATTATTTGTTTAGCAGCAAATTAGTTTGGCAAGCCACATATACTTTAATTATAGTTAAGGGGACAAGCTTCATGTTGAATGCCCTCTTATTCTGTGTAAAATAATAAAGACGGGATAAAGATCTAATAAAAAAATAAATAAAAAAGTAAAACATTTGTATCCTGAGCTTATCCTGCCTATGATGGAGAACCCGTGTAATTTTTCTAGTCTCCTTCCAGTCACTACTTGTGCGTTTAGCTTGGGCTCTAGTTAGATTTTTATCAAAGATAAATACTAGAATGTAACTAGTTAAACATAAGTTTTATAGTTGGGTTCCATGTTTCTTTTCATTCTTATTTTTTTATTTGTGTACACCTGAACTTCTGTCTTTCTACTTCTAACATCCTGGCAGTAATCTAGATGGGAAAAGAAACTTTGTGGTGGATTTTGGATGGTCAACATATTCTATTCAACTACTAGAAAGAGGAATGGATTTTTTTCTTCATTGGTATCTGGTTAATTGGGAGCACATTGATCTGACTGGATCACACATTGTTACATTATGAATAGAGGAATTATGACTTCTTCATGATCAGTTTATGAATTGTGTACATGAGTTTTGGGGGGGACATATTTTGGATAGATATTCATTATTTTGGGGTATATAAGATATATTTTAAGGGACGCGGTGGCTCAGTGGCTAAGATGATGAGCTTGTCAATCGAAAGGTCAGCAGTTCAGCGGTTCGAATCCCTAGTGCCACATAATGGGGTGAGCTCCCGTTACTTGTCCCAGCTTCTGCCAACCTAGCAATTCGAAAGCACGTAAAAAATGCAAGTAGAAAAACAGGGACCATCTTTGATGGGAAGGTAACAGCGTTCTGTGCACCTTCGGCGTTTAGTCATGCCGACCACATGACCACGGAGACGTCTTCAGACACCACTGCGATGAGCACTGCCCCCTAGAGTCAGGAACGACTAGCACATATGTGCGAGGGGAATCTTTCCCTTTACTTTAAGATATATTTAAGATGTAACCAGAGCTTGTCTCTCCTGAGCTGAGCAGTAGAAGAATTGTCTCAACACATACAATTTTGTCTGGAAATATTTGTAAGAACGCACAGCATAAGACCTTAGCGTAAATATTTTAAAAAGGCAAAGTGATGAGTCAGTATAATTTTTTAAAAAGTGGCCTACAATAAATATGTTTATTTATGCCTTATTAAGCATATAAACATTCAGGAAATGTAGGTAGAACTCACTCCTATTTTCTGAAGTCTAGCCAAGTCCACAATTGATGGGTAGTTAGTGAGAAAACTGTGACATAATTCCTGCACTAAATAATGACATTGGCAGTCTTCCTTGTTTTCCATTCCCCATAACATTAAAAAAAAACAAACCTCTCCTGAAATACTTGTTCATAAGATGCTTCGTTTCAAGTATTGCAGTATGTTTTCCATGGCAGTCATTCAAATGGCAGTTGCAATAAAATTGCGCCTAACATAATAGCAGAAAATGTATGCACTCATGTAAGGATTTGCTACTGACCTTGTTTACATCCATTTCCTCTTTCTTATCTTTGCATAAGAGTTTTATTTTAAAATAGAGTTTCTATTATCACTGAATATCTGATTTAATAATGTTGGAGTAGCTTATGTCAGGACAATTGCTTTACACACATGGTCATAAGTAATAAATATCTGATGGCCATCTTTCCGGTATGATAAGAAGAAAGAAATCTAATAATTTGGGAGTATGAAAATCTTGCTTATAAATAAGCATTTTTATTCAGCAAAATATGCTGGTAGGTGTTCATAGCTACAGCATCAGAAAGTAGAGTTCAGAAAGGACTCTATTCTATATATAGAGAGAGAATAGAATAGAATAACAGAGTTGGAAGGGACCTTGGAGGTCTTCTAGTCCAACCCCATTCCCAGGCAGGAAACCTACACCACTCCAGACAAATGGTTATCTAGTCTCTTCTTAAAAACTTCCAGTGTTGGAGCATTCACAATTTCTGGAGGCAAGATGTTCCACTGATTCATTGTTCTCACTGTCAGGAAATTTCTCTTTAGTTCTAGGTTGGATCTCTCTTTAACGATCTTCCACTCATTATTTTTTGTCCTGCCCTCAGCTGCTTTGGAGAATGACTTCTTCATCTCTGTGACAGTCTCTCAAATATTGGAAGACAGCTATCATATCGTTCCTAGTTCATCAAAGTAGACATACCTAGTTCGGTAGTGGGTTTCACTTACCTTCGCTACCAGTTTGGAACTGTGAGCTCGTGCGCGGCACTTCCGCGCATGTGCAGAACGTCCGTGATGACATCTGGGCAGGTGGGCGGAGCCTCCTGCCACCACCGCTACCAGTTCGCCTCAACTGGGGCGAACCGGTAGAAACCCACCACTGACCTAGTTCCTTCAATCATTCCTGTTTCCCTTCCTCCCTCCCTCCCTCCCTCCCTCCCTCCCTCCCTATTTTTTTTAATTAAAACTATCCTGGCTACCAAGAAAACTTACAGCAAGAAATTTTGAGATTCAGGTGTCTAAAACAATCACAAAGGACAAAGAGGGGGAAAAATTAAATCAAAATCAAAATACCCTAAAAGAAAAAGAGAAAATAGACATGAATAAAAACACAAGGAATAACAGGCCATAAACTTTCTATTTTTTTTATCCTGTAAGGTACCCAGAGTCATACAGGAGTTAGGAGACTAATAGAAGAAAATATTTATATCTCCGGGTTGAACTGTGGTGTATTTGGTGTTCTGTGAACGTGGTTGTTTCCTTAACAGATGTTTCATTACTCAACTGGATAACATCATCAGTGCTAGCCACTTGCACATAAACAGAGAGCAAATCTCAGTCCCTTCTAGCAGTGATATTACCAGTGGTGGGTTTCAAAAAAATTTTACTACTGGTTTTTTGGGCGTGGCTTGGTGGGCGTGGCGTGGTGGGTATGGCAGGGAAGGATACTGTAAAATCTCCATTTCCACCCCACTCCAGGGGAAGGATACTGTAAAATCTCCATTCTGTCCCCAATCCAGGGGAAGGTTAATGCAAAATCCCCATTTCCTCCCGATCAGCTGGGACTTGGAAGGCAGAGAATAGATGAGGGCAGGGCCAGTCAGAATTTTTACTACTAGTTCTCTGAACTACTCAAAATTTCCACTACCAGTTCTCCAGAACTGGTCAGAACCTGCTGAAACCCACCTCTAGTCTCGACAAAGTCACCAGAGATTGAACAGATTTATATTCCTAAAAAGACACCAAAGTAGAGTCAAACAAGTGAGCAGAGTCTGCTGATTGTACCAAGATAGCAAACTGAAAAAATCTGTCCAAGTAACCTTCAGCTTTTGTCTCACTTTCCGTTCCCAGCCTTGAACAGCGGAATCTCTCGCTGGAGACCGAAATGATGAACCTCCACGACGAACTGGATCAAGAGAAGAAGAAGTTCACCATGGTCGAGATCAAAATGCGCAATGCCGAGCGGGCCAAAGACGACGCGGAGAAACGGAACGACATGTTGCAGAAGGAGATGGAACAGTTTTTCTCAACGTTTGGGGAACTGACAGTTGAGCCGCGTAGGACAGAGAGAGGGAACACCATATGGATCCAGTGAGGGCTGTTCCTGCCGCTCAACAAAGACTGTGGGATTCTGGGAAGAGGATAGTGTGGTATTTTATTGCATTGTTTCTCAACCTTGGTGACTTGAAGATGGGTGGACATGAAGGCCAGGCACCTTCAAGTCACCAAGATTGAGAAACACTGTTTTATTGTAACAGGTGGCTGGTCACCTGACTGAGGCTAGCACTCAATGTAATGTTATGAGACCTCCACTCTTCATGACTGCATCCACCCACCATATGTCTGCAAGTTTGCTTCTCAATTGAGAAATCCTTACTCCTCAATCCATCATCATGCTACTGTTAAGTGTTGCAGCAGGCTTTGGGCATATAGATTTTAAATAGGTTATGGGGGACGGGGGTGGGGGGGACACGGGGTACGATAGAAAGAGGCAAAAGATTATTTTAATGCAAGTCTTATATTGAAACTGTCAAATGGTAAACTTCATTGCAATCCAGCTTTTTCTCCCTTGCACTTAACATAGTAAGCTATTTTTGGGCCTTGTGTTATAATCAGCTAATTTTGTATATTATTTCCCCTCCCCCCCTTTGGTTGCCCTGTCACTGCAGAATTAATTATATATATAATATATATATATATAATATATATGTATATTTATACACACACACCGTCACACACGAGTCTGTGTCTTTGCGTGTGTATATATATAAAATGTTAGCTATTAAAACGAGCAAAAAAAAAAAAAGTATTGTGTGATTGTGCTGTTTATGCCAATTGAGTTGCCCATGACCAAAAAGAAACCCAGAAAGGAAAAAAAAAACTGTAAATAATTTTATAAATATAGAACATGAGCATCGACTATGTTTGTTTTTATTTTCCCCTTTTTTTCTTCGTGTTTCTAATATTTCATTTATAGCTTGTCAATCCTGACCTGTGCACTTACATCTTCAAAAATCTCTCCTATGGTCACTGCGTTGTACCCGCGAGATCCAAACATTAATTATACACATAATTTGCACTGGAATTCTGGGAGTGGGCAATCTTAGGGGGAGAAGATACTGTACATCACGATCCTGACAAAAATTCTGATCATTATCCAAATGACTGACTGACTTGTACCAAAGGATTAACCTCAGGGGAAAAAAAAAAACCAGCCATTCACCATATTCTAAGAGCTGATAAAAAGTAGTTCTTGACTTGCGTCCACAATGGATCCCAAAATTTCTACTTTTTGCTAAACAAAACAGTTGCTAAATGAGTTTTGCCCCATTTTACAACATGTTAAGCCAATTGCTGCAGTCGTTAAGTTAGTAACAGGGTTGTTAAGTGAATCTGGCTTCCTCATTGACTTTGATTGTCCAAAGATCATGTGACCTGGGGGCACTGCAACCATCATAACTATGAGCTGGTTATCAAGCATCTGAATTTTGATCACGTCGCCATGGGGATGCTGCAACAGTCATAAGTTTTCTCACAACAAAACAAAGAAATTACAGTCTATACAGTATATATAAAAGCGAAATACCACTCACTCATCATGAATCTCCAGAACGGTAAAGCCTACAAACCTGAAATTTGGCACGTATGTTCTTCTTGGCGTCTAGGTACTCGCTAAGAAAGGATTTTTCGAAATGATCATCAGATCATTAGTATTTCATATACAGTATTATATTCACATGCTCTGATGCTAAGGAGTTAGACGTTCTACTCCCCCTTCCCACATCAAAGGAACTCTGTTCCAACTGCCAGTAGCCTTATATTAACACACACTGATGCTACCCCTTCGCTAAACCAGGCATGGGTGTGGCCATCGTGTGACACATCCAGCCTGCAGGCTGAGATATTCTACTCCCCCTGTTCCAACTGCCAGTTGGCTTATATTAACATGCTCTGATGCTACAGAGTTACACATTCTACATTAAATTTCAGGCTTTGTCAATTTATGATGCCCAATCACATAGTTTCATAGTGAAACATGGGCGTCCAACTAGTAAAACTAATAAAAGTGGGGGAAAGCTAAAACAAAAAGCAAAAGATGACAAGAATGACAGAATTCTTGGAATGAAGACTGAATGAAGTGAGGAGCATCACTCTCCCTTGCCAAAATCCTGGGTGAAGAGGCAGCTCTTCATGGCTCTTCTAATTAACAGCAGCTTGGGGCCATCCAGATCTTAGAGAAAATTTTGTCCCAGAGGACAGATCCCGCAAATCCTTGACTTGCGATCACAATTGGTCTAGAACTACCATCGCTAAGTGAGGTGGATGTTAAGTGAGGTGTGCCGAGTCTACATCCTTTTTTTTGCTATGGTCGTTAAGCAAATCACTTAAGTCATTTACTGAATCACATGGACCAGTGGTGGGATTCAAATTTTTTTACTACTGGTTCTGTGGGCGTGACTTGATGGGCATGGCAGGGGAAGGATACTGTAAAATCTCCATTCCCTCCCCACTTCAGGGGAAGGTTACTGCAAAATCCCCATTTCTACCTGATCAGCCGGGACTCAGGAGGCAGAGAATAGATGGGGGGGGGCCAGTCAGAGATGGTATTTACCGGTTCTCCAGAACTGGTCAGAACCTGCTAAAACCCACCTCTGACATGGACATGGTTAAACAAATCTGGCTTCCTCATTCCCCCCCTTCTGCTTGTTGAAAGCCAGCTGAGGAATATCACAAATAGTGATTTTGGAATGAATGAATGAATGAATGAATGAATGAATGAATGAATGAATGAATGAATATAAATAAATAATAAGCAAGCAAGCTGGAAAGGACCTTGGAGGTCTTCTAGTCCAGCCCCCAGTCCAGGTGTGGTCTTACTAGGGTTTTATAAAACAATACTAATACTTCCCATGCTCTTGATTCTTGTTACCATGGTAATGATGGTCCTTAAGCAAATCCATTCTCTTGAATGGGTGGGGGGTTTTTTGTTTTTGTTTTTGCTGGAAAGCAAAAAAAAAAAAAGTTGCACATCATGGTCACATGGCTATGGATTATGCAACCAGTCAAAATTTGTGAACGGATTGCCAAACACCCAAACTGCAATCACATGACTGCTGAGGTAGTTGTAACTTTGAGGACAGGTCATAAGTAACGGCTTGGGGGCAGGGGTGGGTTCTACTTACCTTTACTACCGGTTCGCAACGGGGTCGCACGCATGCGCAGAAGCTTCCTTATGACGTCGGGGTCGGTGGGCGGAGCCTCCCACCAGTTTTACTACCAGTTCTATAGAACCGGTCCAAACCGGGGGCAACCCACCACTGTTTGGGGGTCCGTTGTAACTTGGAGTGCTCATCAAGCAACTGGTTATTCAGTGAGGACTACCTTCATTCCAAGACATCCCATATCAAGGCAGCCTTTATGGTGATTCTTCTGATAGACGAGGCACCTCACAACTTGATATGCTTGACAGCTGAGAAGTCCCATGATATATATTATGTTCAGTATGACAAGTTTGAAACAGAGCAGCATGAGTGTCTACAATTATGCAGTGCCAAGGGCTGAGAAGATGCTACAGGAACGAATGCTGGAGCTAAATTGACCATTTTCCTGCTTTTTTGATAGCCCTCTCCCCATGGCAAACTAGCTGTGATGTGGGCACAGAGCCAGCTTGGCGCTGTAACATGAATGACTCAGCAAATGGCATCCTTGATTAGCCACATCCTATTCCTGATCACTGCCAGCTGGGATATAAACATTTTGTGTCTTCTCACTCTGATGGAAACAGCGTTGTGAACTTTCATGTGGAGCAAACGTTGACCATTTTTCCACTTCCCCCATCTACAACTTACGAGCACAATTGAGCCCAACATTTCTGTCATTAAGCAAGACTGTTATTGAGTTTTGCCCCATTTTACCACTTTTCTCACCGCCGTTGTGAAGTGAATCACTGTTCATAAGTCATTTTTTTTCAGGGCCGTTGCAATGTGGAATGATCACAAAATAAATGGTTATAAGTAGAGGACTACCTATACAGAGGACATTTCCAAGCTGCTTTAGACATACAGAAATGTTATGTGTGTAATATATATGTCTAATATAGATATAGGCAGATTCCTTGGGCAAAACAAAAGGTTTGTTTAAAGACCAAAGCTTTTAAAAAGTAGATTTTGTTCGACAACTAAAGGAAAACAAAAAAGAAAAGTTGGGTGATGTACTTGAAGATCTTCCTTGCTCTTAGGCTTTAAACCAGGGATCGGCAACCTTAAACACTCAAAGAACCACAAAGGTCCTAATCGGAAGCCCCCGTTCAATTCTGGAGTCGACCGGAAGTCCGGTTCCCCCATCATAGTCCCCTCCTAGAGCGGTGTCCTTTTTCCGCTGTTGATCAGAAGTCCGGTTCCTCCACCATAGAGTCTCCTCCTAGTGCAGCATCCTTTTTCCTCTACCTGAAAGCCCTATCAATTGTGGAGCCGACAAGAAACAGGGAGCCGCAGCAGAGGGATGAAAGAGCCACATGCGACTCCAGAGCCACAGGTTGCTGACCTCTGCTTTAAACAGATCACTGGACAGCTATCCTTGTGAACATTCCTTAATTTCCTGCACTAAACATAAAATAGTTTAGAAAATAGCCTTCAAGGTACTATTCTTCCTATATTCTCTCTTCTGGAGATAATGATTATTTCAGGGAAGATAATGGCACTAAGGAAATTTGATTCATTTCTCAAGTGAAGGGGTCCTGCATTGAATAGGGTACCAGTCCCTTTTTTGATAAATTATGATTAGCCTTTTACATATCCTCCTTATAGAGTTTATTAGTCCTCCCTGTCGCCAGACAGCAGTAGGGTTTTATGTTGAGTACCAGTAGACTAAGCCACCATTTTAATTTCCCAAAATTTTCCTACGTGTCCCCCATAAGGGCAACTTTTAAGGCTGGTGGACTTCAACTCCCAGAATTCCCCAGCCAGCAGGACTAAAATTTCTGCTAAGCAAAGCGGTTGTTAAATGAGTCAGGCCTAATTGTATGATCTTTTTGTCAGTTGTTAACCGAATTGTGCATTTGTTAAGCAAATCCAGCCTCCCCCATTGACTTTACTTGTCAGAAGCTGTCTAAAAAGGCCACAAATGACCATCGCCTGTTCCCGAGACATTGCAAGTGTGGTAAATATATGTGAGTTACCATAATTTCGATCGCATGACCTAGGAATCCTGGGACAGTTGTAAATGTGAGGGTTGGTTGTAAGTCACTTTTTTCAATGCTGTTGTAATGTCAAATAGTTGCCTAATGAATGGTTGTAAGTTTTAAGATTACCTTTCATTCTAATGTTTTGTTCTCATTCTGGGTGAATCGGACTATTCTAGTATGTATCTGTCCAGCTTGCTCAGGTTGGAAATGATACTACAGTCAAGGGTGATATTAGGGCACTCTATCTTTGGGTCGACATACCTGGAATGTTGTGAAGGTAGAGGTCTAAGTTACCATCTACCACCTATGGCAACTTTACGACCTGTGGACTTCAACTCCCAGAATTCCTGAGCCAGCATGGAAGTCCACAGGTCTTCTGTGGCCTATGTTGCCATAGTTACCTGATCTAGCAGGTGTTGGAAGGTGTGTTTTTGGAGGGAGACAAAGGTGTTGTTTTTGATGCTGCCATATCCAAAGCAGAAGGGGAAGTGGATGAGCAATTTACACTGAGAAACTGTGGCTATAATTGAATTCCAGTGCTTAGCAAGTGAAGCTACTCAGGACCTAATCATTCAGTGCTCCCATTTGTTTGGACGCATGCTCTTCTTTCCGGCTTTAGACCTAAGGAGGCTCCAAAACCACTTTGGTCTTCTAGCAGTCGATCCGCAATGGAATCTCGTGAAGAATGGCATGTTCTGATCAGTGTCTGGAATTCAACGGATGCTGGCCAATCATTTTAAACATAATATAGGCCGGGGGAGGGGAGGGCTGGGTGTATGTGGCCAGGGTGGACGTGGAAAGGGTAGGCGTGACCAACTCGATGTCACTCGGCCCGCCCAGGCTCCATTTTCGGCTGCGACGGCCTCCTGTAGCCCTCTGCCAGCAAAAATGGAGCTCGGGGAGGCTGTGTTGCTGGCAGAGGGCTGCAGGAGGCCGTCACAGCCGAAAATGGAGCCTCTGAGGGCTGCCTGTGGCCCTCCCAAGCTGTTTTCGCTGGCAGAGGCACGCGGGCTGGTCCTTCACTGTTTCCAGGTTGGTCTCATGGGCCAGATCTAAGCACTCCATGGGCTGGATCTGGCCCACGCGCCTTGAGTTTGACACCCCTGAATAGGCAGATCCTTTTGGACACTAGCCAAGATTAGCATGAACTATACTGTATAATGCAATGTGAATGTAGGTTGATAGATCAGGTCCATACGTTGGAACTGTTTTTGGACTTTATTTTCACCTCGGTAGCTATAACAAGGAGCACTGGCGAACAGTTTTAATAGGGCATTCCAAATTCTAGAAGTCACTACCTTTATAGTAACTTCATCTAGGACTGATATTGCTCCCAACTCAAAATATCCTAATGGTTTCCACCTGTTGTGGGACCCAAATGGAGGGTCTCCATAGACATTTACCTGTTATGGTATTCCAGAAGAGTTTGAAAACTGTGTGTAGAGCTGTGCTTTACTTCTCAAATGCTTTTATGCTTCCTTTCCTGTTGAAAGTCTGTTGCTACAATTCTGACTTTTGTTGCTTTGCTTTCTCAGCATTATTTCATGGTGTCAATTTGATTTCGGTATATATATATGTGTGTGTGTGTGTTTGTGTGTGTATCTTAATCCCATAAATCTGTTCAAAAATCCTTTCATGGTGAAAGTTTAAAATTTATATTTAAAAAATGAAATTAATGCCCTAAATATATAGTAACGATACCGTATTTTTCGGAGTATTAGACGCACCAGAGTATAAGATGCACCTTAGTTTTTGGGGAGGAAAATAAGAAAAAAGCTGATTGGCAGGTGGATCGGCCTCCTGGAATACCTCCAAACAGCTGTTCCCAGAGGTGAATTTTAGCAACAGGTTCCTCGGTTGTGAGCTCTGTGCCTTGCTTTTTTTTTTTTTTTTTTTGCTTTTTTCCCCTTCCTCTGAAACTTCTGAAATCTGTTTCAGAAAAAAACTTTTTTTCTGTCTCTGAAAGCCTCCAAAACAGCTTCAGAAAAAAAGCCTCTGAAACTCTGTTTGGGGCTTTTTTTCTGAAGCTCTGTTTGGGGGCTTCTTTTCTGAAGCTTCTTTTCTGATGCTTTTTTCACCCTCTGAAACCTCCGCTTGAGAAGCCAGGCGGGGCTACATTCAGAATATAAGACGCACCCAGATTTTCACCCTTTTTTGGGGGGGAAAGGTGCATTTTAGACTCCGAAAAATACAGTAGATGTGCCTCTTAGCTCCACAGGTTTGCAGGAAAGATCTCTTGTTCTTCAGAGACAACATTCTGATGATAAGCTAGCTTGATTTCTCTCCTGGAGAAATATATTGAATTGGAGAATAAAATCCCCCCCACAGACCACGGGAAAAAATCAAGACAACAAAGCAAAAATATTTAGACTCCAAAAGGAATTTTTTTTCCTTAATTTTTTTTTTTTTTTTGGCACAAAGGGGAAAATAGACTCCCTTCTGCTTTTAATAACTCAAAACAAATAGAAGTTAGAATGCATTGACTCAACATTGATCCACAAAAGGTTGATGAACAAAGCCAAGATTCCTCCATTTCCCCCTCTTACCACCCACAGGAAACAATGAAAGGTAGAAAGTAAAATGGCTGAAGAAGTAAACAAAATGTAATGATGTTCATCTCCTTTTCAAGCTTTACATTGGTCAGTTCATCCACATCACTTATTTGTGACTTATCAAGTTCAAAACTAAGATCTTGGAAATTAAATTGGACACGTCTTCTTCGTCTTCTTTTTCTTCTTCTTCTTCTAGTCTTGATGCTGAACAAGCGGCTTTGGATTTTTGTGTGTTGTTGTTGTTTTTCTTCCATACAGTATATATAAATATATATATATATATATGGAGAGAGAGAAACGGTGTTTTAAAAAATGGTGTGTTTTTTTCCCCTCAACACTAAAAGTCATGCTCTTGGTTGCTGTAAATTATATGTGAAACGCCAATTGTGCAAAAATATAGCAAATGCAATTTAGATCTTACACGATGGACATGGCAAGGTGAACAGTTTGACTTTGCTACTTGGATTCAGAGATCCGGGATATCCTTGTTTCAAAACATATTACTGGCCAGAAGTCCCACTCAATTTGCTAAATATACATAAATGACTCTATATACAGCTGAAACCCTTAAGCCTTTTCCTCGCTGGAGGAATACCAACGGAGGAAATGGCCAGCGGTAGCACATGGAGGCATACAGTGGCCTTTGAAATGTACAGAAGGAACAATGATGGTTTGTTACAAGAAAGTGACAAAAACAAAGGGAGGGGGAATCGGTACAAATATTTACATACAATATGTTCCTTGCTAAATAGAACTGCATAGCCCTGTTCAACAGAAAGAAAGCGTTATTTAATAAGCTCTACTATCTTAGAATCAACATAGTTATGCCCTTGAGGGTAGACTCATTCCAGTGAAGTTGAGACTAGGTTGCTGACTTCAACAAGACAGAACTCACCTGATTTGTTCTAAGAGATACTTGAATTAGCAGCTTGGGCTAAGTAAATATGATTATTGAAACAAGCATAATAAAACCCCACCTCTTATGCCCAAGCCAGCAAAAGACATTCATGCACACAGTGGAGGTGGGTGCAGGTGGACTTATCTGATGAACATACTCCTTATATCTTCACTTGCACTGCTTCTCACACCGAAGCTAGATATGAGTCCCTATTCCTTCTTATACTTTCTGCAGTCTCCAAAGGACGTGGCAATGTCATCCAAAAATCTACAGGTATAAAAATGGAACTTTTTAGGGAGGGAAGGAGGAAAAAAACACACGTGTTCCTATCACAACAGGCTTTTTGCAAATAATAACAATAATAATCCTAAGCAAAACTTTCCATTTTTTGTGACTGAAATAAAAATGAAAACTTGCCTTGGGTAAAATGGATATTGGATTCACAGCTGGCTCATTTCCTTGAGACTAAAAGGGAATTTACCTGAATCAGTTTCACAAGTTGCTTTAAATGTTTGACATTCTTGGACTAACTTTTATCCTGGGATCAATACATGGGTTAAAATTCATCACGGCTGAGCAGAAGGTTCTGATTTCATCTATCTGACCAACAGCATCTCTTTTTTTTGACCCTTGGTCCATAATGAAGTCCAATCCAGAATTGTTTTCGATCAACACTATGTAAGAATGCAACTGGAGCAAAAAGAATGCTTTTCCTATGCCTTTTTCAGAGGCCTTCACTGATCATCCTCTTCTTTTAACAACCCCATAATCTTTTGCGGGGTGGACTGGGCAAGTGAATGGAGCTAGCAGAGTGTTTACTGGCTGGATGCCCTTCCTATCCCCAATGCAGAGTTTTGTTCAGCAGATATATTCTCATTGCACCCAGAGAGAGAAATATCTGTCTCTCCCTAGGATCAAACTCACACCTTCCTGATTGTGAGGCGAGAGTGCCACCTCTAGGCCACCGCACCACTCAAGAGGGGCCTTCACTGATGACATTTCAAAAAGATTTTCACGGGGATAAGATATAAAGCTGCTGGCTGGAGGCATCACCCTTTCCCCCTTTCCTTAACCCCTTTCCTTTTCAAAGCAAAATTGTTCCTTGAAAACAAAGCTACATCATCCTTATTCCTTTTGTGCTATTTTCAAAAAATAATTGGAGACAGAGAGAGAGCCTAATCTCGCTTCTGCCAGAAAATCCTCAACTGAAAGTGCCACTTCGCTGCTGCCCCCTCCCTTTGCTAGTGACATTTTAAAAATGAAATATATTAAAGTTAGACTTGGATAACGATAATCCCCACCTAAGCGAATCAGTAGGAAAGGTATTCTAATGTTGTTTTTTGCTGTAAAATGATAAACAACTGATCCCAAAAAATCATGCTTCAATTTAATCTTCAATTAAATTTTAAAAGCATTCCGCAAATAGAAGAGTGCTTGACGTCATCTACCATTATAGATTTATATAAATTAAATCAATTTTTTTTAGTTAAAATTCTTTCTACGGCATAACTTTAACCTTCAATCTTAAACCTCTCCAGAGCTCTTCACTTTAAAGAAACTTTCCAAGATAGATGGGCAATTGATTGGAGAGTCCATTTTCCACTGGGACTAAACAGAGATGAAATTTAATTAAGATACAGCCCACAAGGTAAGCAAACATCTTGCAACAAAACCTAATCTATTACAATTTAAGAAAAAGGCTATTTTTGTTTACAGATCAGTAAAAGAAATAACAAGTTCTTTTCTCCTTACCACACACAGAAACACATTCATGCAATCTTATATTTACTGTGTTTCCCCGAAAATAAGACCCCGTCTTATATTTTTTTGAACCCGGAAATGAGCGCTTGGCCTTATTGCCATACGCTCAAAAGCCCGATTGGGCTTATTATCAGAGGATGTCTTATTTTGGGGAAACAGATTATGTAGAACAATTCAAGTGGACTGTGTCTCCTCACTCAAAACTCAAAACAATTCCAGATTACAACATATTGTTTTCATTTTAAATAGACAAATTCAGGTTAAATTTAGCAAACTAGCAAACTAGCCAACATTTCCACCATCTATCAGAAACTGTTTTTTTTAAAAAATCCACACAGGTAAACAGCCAAGTCCAAATAAATAGCAAATTGTCTTTTTTTCTCCAGTTTTCCACACAAAAGCTTACTCTAAGAAATCTTCTTGGCTTACATCTTGACTACGTGATGTATAACCCACTATGGCAGATTTGATAGGCAACAGAATTTTGCTAATAATGTATTGAAGTAAAGCGGAAGACTGCATCTTGTCAGATGCAAGTATTTGCACTTTTTCTGAAAAAAGTGGGGAAAGTTTCAATCTGACACATCTGCACAATGCTGTAGGTTTAAGCTCCGAGCTTGGCAATTTGGTTACAAATTTCGTCATAGACGAAACATGGCAGATGAACACAACTCAAAACGCACTGACGATGTCTCCTCGAAAGGTGACGAAACATTTGCAACCAAATTGCCAAGCTCGGAGCTCAAACCAACAGTCTAACTACCAACTCGAGCTCCTAATATTCAAACACATTTCAAACATCTGCACAATTTTGAACCAGATGGAAGGGAGAAAGTCCTTTAAATTGTTGTTCTGGATTCTGACAGGTTAATTCAGATTTAATCAGATTTAAGTACTCTAACTGAGTGACCCTGAGTCTGTCATACTCTCTCAAACCCAGGGAGGAGGAAAGGGCAAAAACCACTTCTGAAAATCCTTGCCAAGAAAACTGCAGGGGTTTGTGTAGGAAGTTGCCAGGAGTTATAAACTGACTGAAAGACACAAAAACAAAACAAAACTCTAAACATAATTAAAATGGAAGCAAACAAATAAACTATATAGACGAAGCCATTTATAAAATTACATAGTCTAGAAATTAAAAGTTCAGAGATAATCTTACATGACTCATTACACTTATATCTCACCTTTGTTCTGAGGCGTAACCCTGTGAGGTAGATTAATTTTAAAAAGAAGATAACGATTGATTGGTTGATTGTTTTCTTAGTGTCCTTGATGGCTGTAGGGAAATTTAGGATTCTCAAATCTTACTAGAACTATGTTACATTGTTTTTGTCTATACGGGGATGTTTTTTGTTTTTTTTTAAATTAAAATGGAAATGTGTTATCAGCCCCACCTGCAATCTGAAGTGACATTCATACAGATATAAACCTATCTGCCCTGTGAGACCAAGTATTCCTTTGAACGGGTATTTAAAGAAGAAAAACAAGCATCTTCAAAATGCTCAGAAGAATCTACCAACATTGTTATCTTTACAGAGTATTTGCCAAGGGCTGAAGATTATATTTCTTCACTTCCACTTCTGGTGCATCTTTCACAGCTGCATAGTAGACTGAAATTCAACAGGGATGGCTTTCAGCAACAAAAGGACTTGAAACAAAATTTCCTTTAATATGCATTCTGCCAAAATCACTGATTCTGTAGCCATGCCGTCCTACAATATGAGGGGATCTGCAAAGATCCTGCTTATAGTACTTTTATGACTTGCATCATAAACACACTACAGAGCCTAGCTGATTATTGGTTACGGTGGATTTGAGTGGAAAGATACAATCCATTTCATCCCAATATTGGACTGGCCTTCAGGAAATGAAAAAAAAAGCAACCGAGCTTTCCTTCGCCTTGTCAGTTTTTGGCGGTTTTGCAAGTAGCAGAGGATGAAAATTTAAGATGGCGTTTTTTATGGTAGATGCTAGGAGTCAAAAACAACCGCACATAATGTCCCAAAGGTGCTTTTTTCAAGAGGCAACTGGACTTTCTGGTTTTTCTTTGAAGACGTTTCGCTTCTCATCCGAGAAGCTTCTTCAACTTGAAGCGAAGCTTCTCATCCAAGAAGCTTCTTGAGCTGAAGAAGCGAAATGTCTTCAAAGAAAAACCAGGAAGTCCAGTTGCCTCTTGAAAAAAGCACCTTTGGGACAACCATGACCTGGATGACGGAGAATCTCCATAGACAATGGCACATAATCAATGATTCTTTAGAGCACGAGCTCTATTAGTAACCTGAACTTGCTTTTCTCATTGACCAATGAATGCAGTATACTTCCTTGCAAAACCCATGCCATATTAAAAAGCCCTCAGAAGTTTTTGTGACAATTCAGAGTTGGCTGAGAGAAACTTCTGAGCTCATAGATCCAGAACGACGGAATAATAGAGTTGGAAGGGATCTTGGAGATCTTTCAGTCCAACCCCCGGCTCAGGCAAGAAACCCAATACCATTTCAGACAAATGATTGTCCAATTTCTTCTTAAAAACCTCCAGTACTGGAACGCTCACAATTCATTTGTGTGTGTGTGTGTGTGTGTGTGTGTGTCTAGATTGGTGAATTCAATCACGAAATGCCCTCTTCAGTTTATATCAGATTCGTGAACAAACATACTGTTATAAATCTGAAAATCCAAAGTTGAACCCCGTTTAGTAAAAGCAACTTAAATGTTTTGGGAACAAGGGGAAGTGGAGCTAAAATGAAATTCAGTATATGTTTAGAACCTACTTACTTGGATAAAAGCTAGAAACCCCTGAGAATTCGGAGGGAGGTTTATTTTTTTAAAAATGCATATAAGACTAACCAAATATTTTTGGGGGCTGCACAGCCTTTGAACAGCTGATCTAGGAAGTTGTGAACCACATCCCAATCACTCTGCCATGCTTAGGTAAAATTTTGGAGCAAAATAAGACAGCAAGCGCAGACTTTTTAAAAAGCCTAAGAAAATATGCCTCTTAAAAGACGTTGCTCTCTTAGGCATCATTATATCTGGGTATTTTCTTCACACCATTTAACCTTGTTTCTAGTTATACCCTCCCTGATATGTGATGCTGTTGAGAGTGATCTGTTTCAAAAGTAAAATTATGGTAAATTTGAATTATTCGCTACTTCATTGGATTCATAAAACATCTTGGCACTTAAAAGATGCCTCCATGGTGTTTTATCCAAAATCGTTTCTGGAGCAGTGATTCCACAAGAGTATTCTTAATTGATGCCTATCCAGTCTTACTAAAAATCTAGAAAAGGAGAGCACAGTACCTCCAGACCCAATGCATGCCATTGCCAAATAATTTACAGCATTAGGAGCGAATTATCCTTTTCTTGTAATTTGTAATTTGCTACTCACCTCTAGGGCTGGGTTACAAAAACAGTGTCATCTGTGGCCCTCCTGAAGTTTATTAGCACTTTTTTTTTTTTGCTTTCTTTTTGGCTGTTTAGTTCACCTTTTGTCTTTTCTTTCTTTTC